GAATATAGTTTCATTTTGAGAAAATTGACTGTAGTTGGAAGTAAAAGCTGCTGCAACCGAATTAGATGTGGAAGAAAATTGTCTTCCTGTATGAATTTCATAATTTCCCCAAGTTTTAGTTAGGAAAGGCAAGCAATTTCCTCCTCGTCTAGGCTAGTCTAGGTGTGTGTGAGTGTGTGTGTGTGTATAGTACTGTGTGTTAAAGGTTTATCCAAAGCCCCCGCCTCTCTCGAAATTTTCTTAGCAGCTTAAAGTTTTAAAGTCCCAACTTTGGTTGCCTGGTTTCGGCACTGTCTTTTGGTTTTTGGCCATGTCAGTGGTTTTGGCCATGTGTGTGTGTAGCGGACTTGGATTGGTTTTTCAATTTCTTCGACTGTTTGCTGATGTCATCGGCAGAAGTTCGGGGCGAAATATCAGGCTTTGTTATTTATATTCCTCGGGCTGCTGACCCACTCAGCGCGGAGTGGGTTCAAGGGACAACCCTTTGTCACATTTTGCAATTTATGTTATTGTGTACAGATACGTATCTGTAGCTGTAGCTGTATCTGTATCTTCCCATTCCCGGTCTCAGTGTTTATGTTCTGTGATTTCTATCAACAACTTTTACTTTTGCAAACAAATGCGGGGCGGCGCATCTCAACCAGAAAGCAATAAAATTGTTTACAAACATTATTTGCGTATATCCTTGAACCGGAAGCACCTTCCATGTCGGACAACAGAGGTCCGAGACTTTACACTATTTAAATGCACCGAAAGAAACTGGTCTTTTAAGAAGGTATTAACTGGTCAAGAGAGTTCCAAGGTCTATTCCCCTTGATTTTAAACTATTATTTAGTTTCCCTAATAACCCATCATTAAATGGTTAATAAGTAGTGTAGTTGTTTTGTGTGGATTTCTTGGTTTCTCTTGCTTATTTTTAAGCACCCACAATAACAGGCATTGCCTTGTCACGCCCCTGTGTCCTTTTGCCAAGGATTCTCCTATCTCTTGTTTGGGTTTCGGGCATTAAAGCTTCTCACACACTCACTCTAATAAACTAATGTCTCTCCTTTTGGGGCGCCACCGCTTGCTGCTTCCCTTTTGCCTCTGGGACGTCCCAAATCCATTGTTGGTCCCCATAGTTTGCTTTTGCGAAACATTTTATTTGTCGTTTCTTCTCTCGCTCTCTTTTCTCGGATTACTCGAAAATGTTTGCGTCAGATTTTGGGTCCTTTTTTGCCAAGCCGAAGCTGATGGGGGTCCCGGGGTGCTTAGAGGTATCCGGGCCGGGGCTAAAAAGGGCTAAAAAGGGTACCCAGGTGTTGGATTCCCCTAACTTTTCCTAACATTTTTCTTGGCACTCTTTTTCTTTTGCTTTTCTTTTTCTGAAATTACTTGATTGAACTGGGAATATAGTAATGGGGCCAATGGGTGCCAATAACTTAGGCTAGGCGGTTTAAGGATTGTCAGCCAGGGAACTGATTGAATATTTAATTAATAGTTTGTAGAGGTGAGATTAGGTCGATTAAAGGGTCATTTTTCATACTTGATAATTGAGTATTTGCAGATTAATTTACTATAAAATGTAGACAAAAATTACTGAAAAGCATATTGGGGAATAACTTTTAATTTGATTTGTATTTAAGGGTTTTCAATTTTAATCCCTAGCTCCCCTTTTAATCCGATTCCAGTTCGGGCTAATGAAGACCTTCTCCCTGTAGAGCAGTACTTTACTGGACCGCTTTTCCCCCTCAATTTCCATCTCGACTGCTGGAAAACAACTCCATTTAAGACGCATAAAGCTGGGGCAACATGTGTGGCTGGCAAACCGGGGGAAAATTCCTTATGCCAGGCAAAGTGAAACTGTCACTGCCAAGGTTTTCCTCCTCACTGCCGCTGTTCTTTTTTTTTCCGTTCCGTCGCTTTTCTTCTACTTTTTTTTTTGGCTGAGATGTAAAGGGAAACCCTGGGTTGCATATTTAAATTTATGATTATGTCGTTATGCTGTCTGCCCGCATTGCTTAGGCGGCCGAAGAAAAAGTGACAGCGGGCCAAACTTAATACAAATTTATGTGCAACATATTTTTGCACTTTTTTCCAGCATTCCGTACTATAAAGGGGCCATTCAGCAGCAGCAGCACCACCACCATCGCTTCATAAAGAAGGCTAACTGAGTGGTCAACATATGTTGCTCCTGTTCCTTGGACGATGGATCCTCCCAAGACATCAAGTTTGTTTTTACTTTGCCGGGCAGCGCTTTAATGTTTCCCCATTAAAAACGAGAACATTAAAATTCCTTTTCGCTACCGAGCAACGTTTAAATTGCATTTCAGCTCAGGGAAATGACAAATTCTTACATAATAAGAAAAGTCGGGAAGGGCCGTGAAGAGAAATGGGATCCATTTGGCATTTGTCAGGTGGAAGAAGCTGAGATGGCGTGAAATTGAGCCAAAGCTCCGCGTCTAACTCATTTTAAATACAAATTTTATGTACATGGAAATAAAAGCAAGAAAGAATGGTTATAGAGCTTGGTCACGACAATGGGATACCTGGTTTGGATAATGAGAGAAAATTGTTCCGAACTTCTGGCTGTCTTCTCATTCCTGGGATGTTAAAATCAGTTGAGAATTATATGCACACACGTGCGAAATTTAATTATTTCTTTTGATGATCTTACATATATTTTTAGGTCTGGTATAGCATTGTTCTAAATTGTAAAAAATACCTTTTTAGCTTGCTCAATATACCCCTAAATGCTCTTTGTTCTCCTCATAAAAATGAAGCAAAGAATTCTCAAATTTAGCTGCCGCTTTTGATTAATTTGTCTTGCCTAATGGCTGGCCATAAATTTCGAGTTAATAAAACGAGGCGAAATTCGCCTGGTTTGCCTTGTTCTAATAACAAAAATTTGTCACACGCCATTCTGACAGTTGTGTGTCACAACCACTTTTCTCACTCCCCTTTCCGTTTCCGGCTGCTCCTTCGGTTGGCTTCTTCTGGTGCCGCCGCCACCGCAGAACTGTCAACTGGCAAGTGCCGCTGATGACATTGTGGCCAACTTTTCTCTGGGAAATTATGCTGGCAACCCGAGAGGAGGAGGGTTGATTGATACGAGTCCTGGAGAGGACTGCTAGGTACACTGGTAGGGTTAATCAATGGCCAGGCCGCACGCACCGAACAGCTAGAAATTCGATTAGAGGCGATGTCAGGCCGGGCACTCGCCTCAAGTGTCACTTGCAATTACCCCGGGGTTTGAGGCATGCTATTCTAGGGTTAAGTGCCATTCGAGGGCCCGGGGCAAAGTGCATTCAAATTGGCTTAAACTAAGAACGTTAAGCGTGCAGCTGTCTAATTGTATTTACCACCCTTGTCGCCCAACCCTTTCTTTCCTGCAAGTAATGTAAAAGTGCCAAGCAACTTCAGGATTTATTAGCATCAAGATTAAAGCATTAAAAATTTCGCAGACTGTTTTTGCCTTACGCAGAGGCATTAAGTGGGGGTTGGGAAAGGGATTTCAGGGGGGAGGGGACAACAACTGCCCTTTTGGGGGCTAAGAGGTGTTGTGTTTAGGGATGGATGCTGGGGCTACCGGAGGAAAGTGAGTGCAATTTTCGCTCACTGGGCTACATCATCAATTTCGCGTCCTTTCTACTTTATACGTAGCTTTCTCCTGTGGGGATACCCTTGGGGAAAGTGTTGGTATTTTTATACCCTTACAGGGTATTATAATTTTAGTCAGAAGCTGGAAATTCAGGGAAGAAATCATTTCCGACCCCAAAAAACGTATATATTCTTGATCAGCATCAACAGCTGAATCGATCCAGACAATCAACAAATGAATTGATCTAGACATCTCCGGAAGATTCAAAATTTTTACCAATTTTTTCAAAATTTTATAAGGGGTTATATCGTTAAAATTATCAAAATTTTAAAATTAAATTTAATTTTTTAAATTTCAAATTGAGTATGCATATTTGTTTACCTAATAAAAACTAACACGAATTAAAATTAATGCTTTTTTGGTTTAGTTATGATCCATTTAAAATTCGGGAAGGGTATACAAACTTTGTCTTCCCAAATTAAACTTCTACTCTTGCTCTGAAATAGGTTCAAAGTTTAAGAATCTTTTCATTACCTTTTCAAGCTTTAATTTCTAAATATTATATATTAAAAATAACAAAAGCGGAATATTTAACAAAAATTCACCATAAAAGTAAAGAGTATTATTGAATTCGTTACAATAATTCAAGCGTAATTCCTGGTGTTGCTGTTGCTTCCGGTGTTGTTATTGTTCTTGTTGCGGTTTCCACCGACGAAGGATGAGGATAAAGCGGCTCCTTCTGCTGCTTTTCCTATTGCCGCTGGCTGTTTCCGCCGCAAGTGGAGTGTTGCGCGAAAAAATATCAGGCACAACAACAGTGTTTTCGGAAGAGCGGCAACTACAGCAAGTACAACATTTCATTGCGCACTTTGTCGGTCAAAACTTTCGACATTAGCACTTAATTTACTGGCCCAACTTAATGAAGTCTACACTTGGCTAATTTACGCGAAATGCTTTAGCTACTTAAGGCGAACATTCATCGTTGCCCATGCTCCAATGGTTCCATAGCCTCTAGTTTCGTTAAAGTTTTTTTATTTACTATGAAGTTTTTGGTTTCATCATAAACAAAAGGACTTTAATGACCTAAAAAGGAAGTTAATTATACTTTAAAGTACAACAAAGTATAATAAAATATCTAGAGCTAATCTGAGTTAGATTATACATGTAATGCAACTCTATATCAAAAGCAGGCCAAATACGTAATAAATAGTACGCGTTTTTCTCCGAAAATGAATATTAATCCACAGGGGTTGCCTTATCAGAAGTTTCCTACTGGCAAATATAACATATATGTATATATTTTGTTATTATTTACATTACTCATATGCGTAGATAAGAATTTCCAGCTCTGGAGCCAAAGCTTTGCTCAGTGTTTGCGAATTCTTCGCAGAGTGAAGTCGGATTTCATTTAGGGGAAGAAATGCTCCGTTCAATGAAAGCCAAACACGTTCGCATGGTCATCGCTGGCCTCTCCTTCATTGTTTCCATCATAATCTTGGGGACAATACCCACCTGGGTGGAACGTGAAAAATGTTGGGAAATTTGTGTGTGGAAGCATGTTTGCCTGCTGCAGATTGTAGGTGGATTGTGCCTATTTTTGGGCTCCATAAAGGTGAGAATATAATACTATATAATATAGGAAATGTTTAATAATAATATATATATTATTTAGAGCAATCAATGGCTCTTCTTGCCCTGGCTGGTGTCTGCCTGTATTTTTATCTATACATTGCTTTACAAGTCGGTATTATATTATTTTCACCTTGAGGACAGAATATTGATGGTGGTTCCCCTTTTTCAAACCATTGCTGGTGAGCTTTAGGTTAAAAACTTCTCCATACTGTATATGGCTTTATTAAACAAATCTATTTTAAATACAGGTTTCTGGTGCTACTTTGTATTCGACGTCTTCCAGGACTTTCTCCTTTGCCACGGTCAGAGGAATCACATAAATCTCAGTAATTGATCGCACTTCTTTTTTCCCCCCTCCCCTGTGAAATGCAATTGAGCTGAGTGTAAAGGCAAATAAGTGTGAACATTGCGGTGGGTGTGTGTGCACCAAAAGGGGGAAGTGTGTGTGTTTTAAGTGTGTGTGCTTGTGTGCTTTAGCCAAAAGTAAAATAAGCGTTAAAATGTCTGCTAACCCAGTGGAAACGACAGACAAGGTTTGAGTCTGCCATTGTGGGTCTCTTCTGGGGGCTATTCTGTGTGTGGTATCGTTGCATGCGTATTGCATTACCCAACTCGCACCACCCACCCACTGAGTGGGGCACAAAGTGGCATATGAATAGATACATGTTTTGTTGCCTGTTTTGTTTGCTCCCCGCTCAGTCTGTCTGTGGGTTGGTTGTCGTAATCCAACAAGCAGACAGGTTAAATACACCGCAAGGACAGACTCAGACTCTTCCTCACACAGACACACTAGGGGCGGCTGCTGGAAAAAAAGTGTGACAACGATGGGGAAAATTCAGGGCTTTTCCAGCGAGGAGATAGAAGAGACTGCGACTCGAGTCGCGATTCAGCTGGGAGACAGACGCAGCCAAACAAACAATAATCATGCAACAATAGTGAGAGCCGCAAACAAATTGCTTTTCTATGTCTACACGGGCATGTATGGATATCTGTTTGCACTGCGATATTGGGAGCGATATATGAATTAGAAATATATTAATAATATATAAAAATATATATGAATTAGAAATATATTAATAAAGTAAATATAAGTTATATAAATATATAAGTTCAAACATAGGTTCTAACTAAGTTCGTTCTAATAAAATTAATCAGTTGAGGCTCTAAGCAAAAGATCATATAAATCTTTAGTCCCAAAAATTCAAAATGTTTCTTTCAACTCTTTTTTATGAATAAACTGTAGTTTATTGTAAACAACATGTATAATTTATAAAGCCTAATTAAGTAACTTTTAATAAATAATTTTGTAATCTCAGAATTCTCTCAAATAAAGACTCTTTCGTAAATCATGAATTTTATATCACATAAATCCTAAAAAATATTATAAAATAAAGTATAAAGTATAGATTACTTTCCAAGTAATAATAAATAATATAGTAGGTAATACATAAGTAATATAAAAGTAATATATTATAGTATAGTTTCCCTAATATCCATTGTGACATCATTTTTTCCGCAGTGAGTGTGTCATGTTCGGGTTCACTTGCAGATTAGTTTCGTTGCGAGTGTGTCTCTGTTTATTTTTTTCTTTCCTTTTTTATTATTTAGTTGTTTTTTTTTTGTAGACGCACAACCACAGAGAATCAAAAGCCGCATGGGCGTAGCCCGTGACACCTACCGAAGGGGTGCTGTGCTGAGAGCACTGGCAATTAGAATGGAGAACGTAAAGTTTGAACCTGGTCCTGGTCCCTGCTCCTTCTCAAATCCAGATCCTGCGTCTTCCTTCTCAGCCTGCGACGGGCTTTTGTTGTCTGCAAAGTTTGCCTTTGACATTGGGTGCCCTGCCCCGCCCATTTTCCCACCGCCCCCTTTTTCCACCTGCGATGCCTGGAAAATGGATTCCATTCATTCAAATCTATGTGAGCCCAGTGAGTGTTAGTGTCTGTGCAGCTTGTTGAACAAAATTGAAAATTAACTATAAATTCTGTGTGGCAAAACATGCAAACATGTTTGCGGAAATACCTGACAGACCCAGGACCCAGGGGCAGGGATTGGGGAGGGGTGTAAGGTATGGGGATGGCCAGACGAGGTGTCAAGCGTGGCAAACACCTTGGTGACACCGAGCCCCCTCTCATGGCACAAAGCGATTCATTGTTGCGAAATTTAATGCGAAAAATTCATTAAAAATAAAACACCTCAAGGGTGGCGACAAAAAAAAGAAGCAAAATACAAACAAAGTTTGAATCCTCCGGGAGCCCAAATTGAATTGCCTGAAATTTGTGTGTTCTTTTTTTTAACTTGTATATATATATTATTTTTGGGCGTACAGTGAAGCCTTTCAAAGGTGCCAAGTACACGGGGGAGGTGAACAAGAAAAAAAATATATGTATAAAAACAAGAAGCGTGTTAACCCTTGTGACAAGTTGTAGCTCAAGGGGTTTTTCGGGACACTGAAAATAAAATTTGCAATGTTTACAGGGATTTAATACGAAAATTGTATAAAATACACATTTTTAAAGTGCAAAGATATCAAAAAAGGGCCTTAAAAGGAGTTTTTTGTAAACACTGGTATTGTTCTTATTCAATTAAATAGGGTTGGGAATTTTTTGTTAGCTGCATAAATGTATACACATTTTAAACAAATAAATATACAATATTTTATATATGAATAAATAAATATACCTCAGCCGTATCAGACATTAAAAAATATTCAAATATATTTTAAAAATGTTATGAGCTCTATTTCCTTTTTTTTAACTGCATATGTAACAAAATTCCAGTAATCATATTAAACCTCATTTTTTACTAAGTGCTTTGGTTATAAAAAAAAGAACATGCTTTAAAAAAATACAGAGTGGACTTCCCAGAAAAAAATTAATAAAAAGAAATTAAACCCAGGCGGAAACCAGGAAAAGGCGGAGTTATATCAACGACCAGAAGAAAGTAGGAACAATCATCTAGACTTAACTAATAAATTTCCTTGAATTCCACACGCAGTCAAGTCGAAGCGGAAATCATTTAAGCTGCCAAATCAGCCAGCCAGATGGTTCAAACAAAAGCTCTTTCTGGGCCGAGAAGGTGGGTCCTGGCAACCGTATGGCCATCTGGATGGGAACAGGACCTGAGGAGAGTTTGCTTGCAAAAAGAAAGCGATTAATATTCATTCAGTGTCGCGCGTATATCACTTTTTATTTGCACAGGGTCGCCGTTCCAACGGGGGAAATGAAATGGTGAGGGGTTAAGGAGCGGCAGGAGGGGGGAGGAATCCTTGGGCAGGCGCCGGCAAGTATGCAATGGAATTCGGCGCACGCAGCAGCAGGTGAGCTCGTGTGGCTGCTTCAGTTGCTGTTGTTGTGTGTGTGCAGGTGTCCGCGTTAATGTGTGTGTGTGTGGGTGTGAGCCAACGCACAATTACATACAACAATTTGTGCTTTGTTTCGTCCTGTGTGTGTGTGTGTGTGAGTGAGTGGGAATCCAAATCACCAAAGAGCAATCGTGCAACAGCAACAGTAAAGGCAACATGGCCCAAGATGGAGGTGGATACCATAAATGCACTTGGAAAAATATACACAAATCTACAAAAGTTCTTGTATTAAATGTTAACTAACAAAGATAATTAATATTTATATAAATTCTGTACGTTTAAAGTGAATTGGGATCATAAACAGGTATTATTTACACCTTAACCTTCCCTCTTTTCTCGCTCAGTGCCTGGAATAACCGAGTTGGCCTGCGGAAATCCAGTTGGCTTTGTGCCGCTGACACCTCCCAACGGCAGTTCCTACTCAAATTGGATGCCCAAAACATCAAGGCACAAGAGGAGTGGAAAAGGAGACCTGGGAGACCCTCCCAAAAGGGGTGGACCCAACAACGTATGATACGATTGAGGGGGTCGGACAAGCTCTTTTTGGAGCTCCAGCGTTTAGTTTTCAATGTGAAAATTGAGAAAAATTGCCAAACGAGTTGGTAAGCGATATTCTCGGCTCCGCCTGCCTGCCTGCCGTTTGGTCCGCTGCCAGGTGATGCTTTCCACTCCACCTCTACTATTGCTTTCACTCCACTCACTTATTGTTAGTTTCGCTCGCTTTGTTTTGACAACTTCTCGAGGAATGTCCTGGGATCGGAGGAGACGCAGCAGTCGCAGCAGTCACAAAGGCGACCCCCGAGTTTCGTCAAATAAAAGCTAGCATTTTTGGCTTCAGTTTACTTCCGTTTGCTTTGACTGCCTCTGGCAATTGGAGACCCGAGAAGAAGCTTGCTGGCAGCCATAAAATTACGATCCAGCAAATGACGCGAAACAGTCGCACGGACATGGCCAAGAGTTTCTGAGCCAAAAAGAGCCAGGCTCAAGCAAGGAGCAGGGGCGGGGGGACAATGGAGCACCAACAACACGTTCTGTGCATAAAAATCGTGCAGGCCATGCTAAAAACGTTTATCCCTTTTAGCCCCAATGCGGCTCGGCAAGGAATCCTACTGCCAACTCCCCCAATAACAATGGCCGAGCAACAAGAGTCCCAGAGACACTGTCACAAAAAGTGCTCCTTGAAGTTAAATCAGCATTAAATCAGTTTAAGATGAAGATACTAAAGAGAGGCTTAAGATATTTGAAATAAATCTGAAAATTAATATTTAAAACCTTACTCGTTACCTTACTTTCTTTTTAATTTCCTAAGGGTTTTACCTAATTATCAAAGATACAATTGTATTTAAAGCGTAAGAATTAAATATTACGTGATTATTTTGATTTTACATGCTAGTTTTCTAGTTTTTTTTGTTGATATATTGTTTTTTATACTTATTTCTCTCAGTGCCTGGTAAGAACAATTTCTTCGTCTTTAGTTTCAATGGCCCCCACGGCGGCCCAAAACCATTTTAAATGGAACGTAAGCTGAGACTGATGGCCGGCTGTGGGAAAATCGGAGTTTGAGGCAGCAAAGGATATATATACATCTATATACATAAAAAAAATAACATAAAGAAGTGATGAGCAGGGGGAGGAGAGGGCGTAAAGCGGTCGGTAGTCAGATAAATGCCGCATCATTGGTTATTTATATGCGTGCGGATCTCAGGTGGATGGCCCCCGGGTCCCTTTGGCGATATATTTATTTGATTTTATTGATATACAAGCGGTCGTAAGTAGTGCATATCATCTATCTCGGCTAACGAGTGGCTCAAGTCCTGTCATTACGAAAGGAGACCGGCTCCAGGCTCGAAGTTCGACATGGGAAATTAATTAAATCGCATTCAAATGATTGGCTACGTGCCATTATTAATTCGAGCATAAATTATTCCACATGTCCTAATTCCAGGCAATTTTACTTGTACCATTTACCTCACCTCACCTCACCTAACCGCCCCCCTCACCACATATTCTGTGGTCAATCACTTGATTGGCTTCGCTCACAGGAATTGATCTGAAATTTTAATGCAACACGTATTCGCACTTCTAATTTATGGCAATTAAGCGAAAGTTCTATAAAGGCCAAGCAAGGAGCTTAAGCCATATGTGTCTCTTCAGGCTAACCACACATATTAATAAAATGGATTAATTAAAACTATGTGGCTGGTGGTAAATGCACTGGCTTTTAGGCAGTGTTTTAATCGGATTGTAATTTGGCATTTTGGAAAAAGGGAATAATTAACCTAATAATATGTTTGACAAAGAAAATGTTACTGAAAGGGTTGAAAAGATGCTTGATATAAACAAGAGATGAATGATCTAATTATGTCGGTTAATTAATGCCGATAGTTGTAGTTAGAGAATACATTAAATTTATGTTTGAAATGTAAACTTCAAACAGAACTTTCATGTGATGTCTCGATAATAAATGTTAGCTATATATTACATAAAATCATATAACTTTTATTTATCAGAAGCATGAAATGCAGTAAAGAAGTCATTTCCGACCCGATAAATCATAAATATTCATGCTCATAATCAACAGCCGAGTCGATCTAGTTGATCTGTTCCGAAGAAAATTTGACCGATTTTTTTTTTCAAAATTTAAAAGGTTACATTGTTAAAATTTGAAAAATGCTAATTTTTAAACAAATGCAGATTTGTTAACCTAATAAAAACTAACACAGAAAAGGTTTCCGAATAAAAATTAATTAATTTTTGACTGAGGTATGATGTTTCTTCTCTGAAGGGTATAGAAACTTTGGTTTCCAGAAGTTAGCTTTCTTACTTTTTTAATACAATTATTTAACATATTTTTAGTAAGATTTTAACAAGAATGTAAAGCCTATAAAAAGAAACCTTTAATTATAAAGACATTCTTTTATAGTCATAAAACCATTGGACTCTAAATATTAAAATAAAATATTTTATATTGATATTTTTACATACTTTTCCTTAATTAATATTTTCAAAATCAATTTCCACATTTAACATTTCCCTTGTTTAACATTTTTAGGCTGTCCTTATCTTAAAGCTGTTAATTTACCAGCAACGCCTGCGCTTGCCGACGTAAACAAACTGTTAAAAAGCCGGCTGGAGCCGGAAAAGTGTTCCCAGTAACAGTTAGAATTGGCATGGCCATGCAAGAAACATAAAAACCGAAACTCGATTTTCAACGAACTCAGAAACGAACGGCAACCGAATGGGGCCGAGCCGAACTTTAAAGCCGAAGCCAAGCACGAAAGTTCAAGCCGCGACGCGACAGTTTCAGTTTCGCTCTCTGGAGAGGTTTTTGAAAGAACATGTTTAATTCGAACATGTTCAAGCCCATGTTCGGTCGTCTTCGTTTCGGTTCGGCTTTTGGGAGAAACCTATAAATACTAGTGCATGCGAGTCAGTCGAAAAAAATATTTTCTTTCAACAAAAGCAACGTCACGTATCGCCGCGGCCGGGAAAACGGAAAATTAACGTAAAGACTGAACGCGGAATCGAGACATAAATAAACGAAAACCAGCAGTTTTGAATATTCGAAAAAGCCAGAATTGATGGGAAAATAATTCCGCAAGATCCTTGTTCATCCCATTCTTTAGGGTACTTTATGGTGAGCGTGAAAGTGGAAAAGTGCAAAGAGCAGACAAAAACCTAAATGAAAACTTGTGAATATATATATTGTGAAAGAGTGTGAAGAAAATCCAGTCGGTGATTAAGCCAAGAAGCCGTTCCCAAACTAAACAGTTTCCAGTGAGGTGAATATACAAATCCAAGATCCCTCTGTCCTCCAATCAGAATCCCACCTGAGCGTTACCTGCCAAGCTTGTTTCACTTTGCATTACCTGCACTGCCTGCCTGCTGACCAGTTGTTGATTCAAACCCGTTCTCTGTCAGGCGAAAAAAAAAAACACAAATACAGCAAAAAAAGCTTAGCAGCAGAAGGAGAGGTTATTTTTGGTCATCAGTTGTTGCCATTTTGCATTGCAGTGCAGCCAAGTTGGCCCATTCAGCGCATAAATTGCGAATGCAAACGGCCAAATTGTTATTGCCACTTAGAAGAGCTCTAAGCGCAATTCTCTCGCCTTTTTGGTTTTTTGTCTTCTTCTACGAGCAGTATCTTGGCCAAACTGCAGTAACAGTAGCCACCTGGTCGCGACTAGCGTTAAAAAAAAACGCTTGCAAGACACAAAAGAACAAAAAAGAGCCAGCGATTGCATCGCATGTCGAGGTTGTTTCGCATGCCCTTGCCCCCACTTCCCCTCCCCCCTGGTGGACCCCCTTTCAACCCGCCTCTGCATAACCCCCCCCCTGGCCGGACAAGAACAACAACAGAAAGAACTTCAAAAGCACTCCGACCCGCCGTCTGTTTTTTGGTGATTATGAGAGGGTTAAGCTTAGCGAAGAGAGTCGCGGGTTAAATGCTCTTTCAGTGGCTTAAAAAGTTAATGTTCATAAATAAGATAAAGTATAAACCATTTAATTTCAATGGGGTTAACCTAAAAGTTGTAAATATTAACAATTTCATAAAGAAGATAAATTATAAAATTATATTTCAATGGGGATAAGCTAAAAGTTGTAAATATTAAAAATTACTAGTTTTTTTTTTAAGTAAATTATAATGTGAATTTCCCACTCTTTTAGTTTGTTAAGTAAATAGTAGTTTATTTTTATGGTAATGTATCTAAAAGAGAGCATTAAATGCATTTAAGTTCAAAATATTTAATGAGTATGTGTAGTTAATAAAAGCTTTGTTTATAACAATAGTGCACATTAAACAAATTACATATTGAAAACCAATAATTATTTTCTTTAAGCTTGTAATATTAAATGATAAAATAGTTAATTATACTTGCAAATTATTAAAACTGGTCAAAGTATATTTTTCATTTCGACAGCTTAATTTATCATTTATTTCAGAAGGAGTTATTTGCATTTAAATCATTAACAATTTACAATGAACTTTATTTATGTATAAAAATTAATATACTCTGATGTGTATCAAGGAAGATATTAATATTAATTGGTACAATTAATTATTTAATGCAATTTAATTCGAATTACCAAGAGTTTCAGTTAAGCCTCCAGTTTTAATATAATAAAAACATGATTTAATATAAACAATATAATATTTCAACCAAGACTTTAAGAACTTTCTTAACCTTTATATAGACCGTTCTGTAAATAAAAATATAACTTTTAAGATTTAGATCAAGTTGAATATAATCTGTATGTTAAAACCATTTAACAAGCTATGATTATAGTTTCCTTTCCAAATTTAAACTTCACAAAAAAGTATCCCCTGTGAGCATGTGAATAATTTAATCAGGAAGTAAGGTTTATTATTTGGTTAGAAAAACTATGAATTATGAGGAAGAAGAGAACACACAATGTTTTTTGCTGCACTTTACGAGGTTTATTAAACTTCCTGGAAAATTAACACGACAGTAAAACCATTTCCATTAGCTGAGGGAAAACCCACCAATTGTATTTTCCCCTTTTTGGCCAGTTAGAGTATTAAATGCGAAAGCGGTGCAAAAAGCATTTCAGCCCTGTTCACTCCGCATTCACTCGGCACAAAAGAACCTGAGAAGATTGGCCAGAGCCAGAGAAGAAGAAAAAAAATGGCCAAGGGAACCTGGCCGAAAAACGAAGAAGTGCAGAATTGAGGGAAAAGCAGTGGCAGGGGCGGCATGCTCAAAGCGTTTAAGCGCCTTTGACACTCAGCTGGTGGCATAAAGGGAAGGAGGGGCCGCCTGCCTGGGATTAGGGGTAGCGGGTGCCATGTGAGACAGCTGCCAATCAATGGGAGCCTAGGCCCATCACTTTGCGGCCATTCTGCTCGGCGGCATGTTGCATGTGTGTTACAGCAAAAAATGGAGTAAAAAACGAGGGAAAAAGGCACACGAAAAGGAAGAAAAAATTCAAAGGAAAAAGTGGAAAAACGTTTTCAGAAATTGTTCTGAACTTTTCCTTTTTTTGGTCTTTTCGCCTTTTTTTCGGTGGACTGAGGAAATTATGCGATAATGGGAGCCAAAGTTCATTTTCATAAATAGTTAAGTTCAAAGTTGGTAACATTCCTCCAACGGAAGGCCAGTAAATTACCCACCTTATGTACACAATCAATTGCAGTAGAGAGACATTTTCAGCTTATTAAATGGAATTAAGCAATTTCTGCGTTATTACCATGAATATTTGAAATCGAGGGTAAATACCTAAGCCAAGAGGGGATTAGTTATTCTCGGTTATAAGTACTCGCCGCACTTTTTTTCCCTCTTATTGATTCTTAGGCGGCAAATTAATGTTTTCATTGCGTTTTCCGGCGCCTTCCCAGCGGAAGTGTCGTGCGGCTGGCTCAATCAAACAAATACTTGCACAACCAACACACAACATAAGGCCGAGAAAAAGGAGCTACAGAAAAGTAACCAAATTACGCCTAATGGTTTTTTAATTGTAACAATAATTGCTGTCGCCATTGCATGAGCAGCAAGCACCAGCAGAGGCAGCAGAGGAAAATCCAGTGAAAGAGCAGCAATCAAAGCTGCTAAGAAGGGTAAAAAGGGTAGTATGGCTCCCAAACCCTCCTATTAATGAGAGCTCTTGGAAAGCATTTAGATGCCAGCAAATTACCAAGCAGGCATACATGGCAAAAAAAAAGAAGAAAAACAAGTCAAGGGAGAGTCCTTGAAACACTGAAAGCTATGTGGGTTAGCTTAATGAGAGGGAAAATCATGAAAAGAAGTCAGAAATGTACTCTAGGAAAATCTTAGGCATCAGGAATTAAATGAGTTTATTTAAAACCTAAAGAATATTTAAAAGGAAAGTGTTTATTTTAATTATTTCTATTGAATAAGCAACTTTAAAAGAATCATTCCAACCCTTTCAATAATATTTCTATGTTAATTACAATTCTAAATGCTAGAAATATGTAAATTTTTAGCACCTGCTTTTGAGCTAAACCTATTTCTTTCTGTGCCTGAAAAAAACCGAATCGGAGGTTCATGTTGCTGCCACATAATTGTGCCCCTTCATGTTTTGTAGCTCTTCTGGGTGTGTGTGCGTGCCTATAATTAAGGCCAAAAAAAGTGCTGGCCTATGCTTTTCCAATGGATGAAACGAAAGCCAGCAATGAGATGAGACTGCGAACCTTGAACTTGCTGGTCTCTTGTTGATGCTTCTGCTTGTGCTTCTATTTGGGTTTTGTTTGATTCCATTCATTGTTCAGTCGGCGGCAGTTGATTATGAGTGTTATGGTTTTTTTTCCCCCATGCTTTTCTTTCACTTGCCAGTATGGTTTTTCTTTTTCCTGGCGTTATTTGGAAGAGCTGGCTTGTTGCTTTTTTGGTCTTTGGTCGTTTTTCGGTTAGCCAACATAGCCTGAAATGGTCAGGCAGGCGTACGTAGCATACTTTTCTGCGGTGAGGTCGGGGACTCTAATGTGCGCCATTTTGGTTTTATGCGGGCCAGTACTGTGTGTTAGTGTGTGTGTGCGTGTTGGCCCATTTGCCCAGAGGTCATTATAGACGCTTGGCCCCTCTTGGCACGTTGTGGCCGCCAACTTCCGCTCTTGTTGCTCTTGATGTTGCTCCTGTTCACCAGCAGCAAGTGTTGCTGATGTTGTTACTGTTGCTGCTGCTGTTGCTGTTGCCACTTTGAGCCTTTTGGCTTTTGGCCGGGTCCAGCAGAGTTCTCTCTCTAAAGTGGCAATTTGTCTAGTTCTGTAAGCGCCTCTTTTAACGATAATGATGATTGCGCATTGTTGCGTTTTTATTTCACTGCACACGCACACTTACAGACACTCCAGGTTTTGTTCCCATATTCCCTTTTTTATCCTCTCATTTTTTGTGTTTTTTTTGCAGACCGTTTTTGCCGTGTGTTTGCTTAGCATTTTCCGATTTTCATTCATTTCCCAGTCCCCTTGCTCTTGGCCCCTTTTCGTTTTGGCTCATTCACTCGTGGATTTTTATTACTTTCATTGCCATTTCTTATTCCATTTTGGCAGTCGTCTGTCAGTTGTCTGTCTTTTGGTTTATGCCCTTCGCTTTCTCTTACTTTTCCCCCCTTTTTTGCCCCGCAATTTTCCCCCATTTTCGGTGGCTTTATTTTGTTCGTTTCTGGCCAGAACGTGTCGTCGCCGTTGTTAATTTTTAGTGTACGAGTGTAGGGAGCAGTGTTTTTCGCATTTGCTTTATTGGCCATGGCCGAAATGCAATCCTGTCTAGACGCTCGACTGTCCAGAGAGGCTTTTCGAGGACACACACCCCACAAAAGTCGCCTCATTTTATGTGCCTATTTGTTTTGGCCGAACTATTTTTGATTTGATGGTACGAGCTCTCGTACGAATTTTGTTTTGATTTGGCCAATTCGGCATGACTCGGTCTCGGTTTGATTTATTTTACACAATTTTTTGTCCCTGCCATTTGTTTGGTAAATAAATTCGACAAAGTTTACATATAATTCTTGTCAATATTTAACCACACAAAATGCATTTCATATCAATTTTATTACAACGCTGCGTACGTGTGTGTGTGTGTGTGTGTGTGTGTGTTTGTGTGTTGTTTGTATAAAATCAATAAACATTTTGCGGTTACCGATGGTCAGTGTCGTGGCCCCCAGTTGACATCCATCGATGGCAATCTCTCTCCGGACTTTGTCCGACGGCATCAGCTGATTACTTTATCACAAAAGCGTAAAATGAGCCACACCAAGCTGCAGGGGGGGGGGGGGGTGGTTGGCTGAAACACACACACATCACAAA